AAAAAAAAAAAAAAAAAAAAAAAAAAAAAAAAACATACATACATTACACGGCATCGCGTCCTTACCGCACCCACACAACCCTTTCCCCCCTAACAACCCCAATTCATTGCCGGCGCCGCTCATGGCGGTTCACCCTCACAATCTTCCATGAGTAGCTCGTGCAACCGGATCAACCTGTCCACATCAGTTGCAAGCTTGGAACTGATCACGGTCTCAGAGAGTAGTATTTTTTCCATTTTCAAACTCCGGGGTGCGGCTGAAGACAACTCATTTTCTTTTAACGAGGTCACAACCCGATTCCTCCACTCCCTGTTTTCTTTCTCTTTTCTCTGCCTCTCTTCCTCTGTCCATCTCCTTGTGCCCCGTTCTTTTGGAGGCTCATTGGAAGTAGGCATTTTAGCAGTTCCAGATGACCCTGCTCTTTCATCCTTATCATTGTCCTTCTCTGTTCCCTTTCTTTCCTTCACCTTCTTGTCTTCCTTTTTTACCTCTTCAGTCTTGTCACTGCCTTCCACTTCCTTATCATCATGCTTCTCCCTTTATGTTTTGTCTTTTTTTATTGAGTCACCTCCACCTTGAGCTTTGTCCTCATCATTCTCCTGCTGAGGAGCTGTGATTTTTCCCCCATCCTCCCTCGAGCTTACCTTTCCATCCTTTCTCCTCTCTTGCCAATCTACAACCGCTGCTCTTGAAGTATCTGTTTCTTTTTCTGCCTCTGCACCTGCAAGGGATAGGTCTTTCTCATTTTGACAAGGAAGTTCCCCCAGGTGTCTGACTGCTCCTTGATCTTTTTCACTACCTCAAACTCCCTTGGTGCTATCCTCCTCATCACTTGCTCTATCATCTTCCTTTCACCCCACCTCCTTTTCTCTGAGCAGAGGTTGATGTTGTCCTCGAAATCCTCCAAGTTTGTGTCATCGAAGATGATGTTATCTTCGATCTCATCTCTTGCCAAGTCCCCATATTTTGCCCACATACCAGCCTTGAAATCCATCCACCCCAGACAATCTAAGGCAATCTCATCTATTACTTCGTTGCACTTCCCCAGCCCTGCCACCTGTTCAAGCATGGTTCGAGTACTCCACTCTCTCCTGAAGGCATACTCCTCAAATTCCCTCAGGAAAACCCTCAGATTGTCCCCTTTCTTGTAAATAGGCATCCCATGGGAATCCTTTGTTAACCGTTGCGCCTTCTTTTGTCCTTCTCTTTCAGGAGTTGTCCTGGAAGGACCCGCCATCCCTCCCTTCTGTGTCATGGCTGCCTGYTTTCTGGGTCACGCCTGCACACAGAAAAAGAAAGGGAGTGACAGGTAAAAGGAAAAGTCAGCAGATGGTTAACAATAGAATATTCGGAAAGGACAAGCCATAAAAAAAGTTTCAGAAGATCATCAGATTTTTCTTTCAATTTTTCTTCAACTCACCTTTTGTCTCACTTTGAACTTCTGCAGCCTAGATCCTGAAATCCAATTCTTTCTTGGTGTCCCATCCATCTCTTCAAGCTCATAGGCTCCATAATTCCCTCTGCGTCTGACTCTGAAGGGTCCCAACCATCACTTGTCCAGCTCCCTTGACCATTGCTTCTCGAGTGAGGAGTTGTACAACAACACTATATCTCCGACATGCAATGGTTCATCTCTTAAGCGTAGAGATCTATCCCACCTTTCTTTATCCTTTCCACGAATGTCAGTCAATCTCTTCACTGCTTCTTGTATTTTCTCTTCAGTGATGCTGACCTGCTTGGCCCTGATATCAAGCAACTCTTCCAGAGGCCTATCGTTCTCAAGATCCTGCCTTCGTCACGTTTTCAAGAAACTCTCTATCAGAAACGTGGCATGCCTTCCGTACCACAAGGTTACAGGGGCATAACCCGTGGTTCTCTTGACCATGATGTTCTCGACAAAGAACACTGTTCTCAGGAATTTCGGCCACAGGTTTGGTTTTCCAGCTGTCCACTTTGCCAGCAAGTTTGTGACCGTGCTGTGTCCCCTTTCAACAGGTGCATTCGCCTGCGGATGTGCTCTGGTCGTGTACTTGGCAATAACTCCTAGATCATCCAGCAGTTCTTTCACTTTCCGACACGTAAACTCGGACCCCTTATCTATGGTAAACTCCACCACGAAAGGATATCGGAGGTAATACTCTTTAATGCATTCTGCCAAGACTGCTCCTGTCTTGGTCCGGATGGTCTTTCCATCAACAAATCCCGTAAGATTATCTCGGGCATCAAAGATATAATTGTAACCCCCAAGTCCCAATGACATTGTCAGGAGATCCAGATGGATCACTGCCCCCCTTTATATACCTTGGATGTAGGGGTTCCTTGCATCTGATTGGAGATCTGATTTGGCAAGGGACGCACGACTCGCAGTACTTTTGAATCATTCTATACATACTCTCCCAAAAGTACAATTCGGTCACCTTTTTTATGGTAGTGGCGAAACTCCCGTGACCTCCTACGGGTCCGTCATGAAGTGCTGCTATCACGTCGATCTGCCGATTTCTGCTACAAATGACCCTCCTGGGAGGTCCTCTTTTATTCCTGATGAAGAGATGGTCTCCCCTCACTATGTAATGATCTCTCATACGAAGAGTTTCCTTACTAACATTTTTTTCTCGCTTATTCCTAGAGAGAAGAAGTCTCATTTCTAGATGGAACCCATCATATTCTTCTTTCCGAAAATCCTTTGAGATTTTCCCTTGTTCAAACTCCTCTCCTTTCAACTCCTCATCAAATTCAAAGTCATCCCCCAACACTTTCTCGTCTGTCTTTACTATCTCTCCTTCATTGTCAGTCTGAACTTGTAGTAGTGAGTTGACAAGACAGTGTATTCTCCCCATTGTCAGCAGGTGTTGATCTACCTGCTTTGTTCCTGCCTCAATTGTCACTGGATCGTCAGTCAGTCTGTAGATTTTTGCCAGAGTCAACTCCTCCATCCATTCTCCATTCCTTTCTCCTCATGGGTCTTCTTCAACGAAAGGTTTTAACACCAATCCATCGACTTTTACAAAAGTTGCCGGAGCGTACCACATGGAGTTCCCTCTCCTCGCATCCCTATCATTAACAGTCAGTCTCCATGAATTCACATGGAGCTGCATATCATCTTCATCTAGGAATCCATCTACTGGTGGAGTCTCTTCCTTTGCATCTCCAGGCTTCTCCCACTCTATCCTGCTCAACCCATCAGCCCTGTTTTCATTCCCTGAGATATGTTCCAATTGAAAATCGAACATCCAGATGTACGTGAGCCATCTGGCGATAGTAGGATCCGTGGGTGCAAAATTCTTAAGGGAATATACAAGGGCAGTTGGATCTATTCTCAGGACAAACCTTCTCTCATAGAGATAGTGCCTAAAGATACGCAGGTAGTGCAGTACGGCCAAGACCTCCTTTTTGAATTGAGAGTAGTTCCGCTAAGTAGTATTGAGGGTTCGACTC